GAGATCTGTTGTCATGCCTCTGCATCAACTCGAACACGTCAGTCAAGGGAATTATTGACTTCACTATCTACGCTCGGACTATCTACGCTCGGACTATCTACGCTCGGACTATCTACGCTCGGACTATCTACGCTCGGACTATCTACGCTCGGACTATCTACGCTCGGACTATCTACGCTCGGACTATCTACGCTCGGACTATCTACGCTGGGACTGTCTACGCTCGGACTGTCTACGCTCGGACTGTCTACGCTCGGACTGTCTACGCTCGGACTATCTACGCTCGGACTATCTACGCTCGGACTATCTACGCTCGGACTATCTACGCTCGGACTATCTACACTCGGACTGTCTACGCTCGGACTGTCTACGCTCGGACTATCTACGCTCGGACTATCTACGCTCGGACTATCTACGCTCGGACTATCTACGCTCGGACTATCTACGCTACGCTGGGACTATCTACGCTGGGACTATCTACGCTCGGACTATCTACGCTGGGACTGTCTACGCTGGGACTGTCTACGCTCGGACTGTCTACGCTCGGACTGTCTACGCTCGGACTATCTACGCTGGGACTATCTACGCTCGGACTGTCTACGCTCGGACTGTCTACGCTCGGACTATCTACGCTCGGACTATCTACGCTAGGACTATCTACGCTGGGACTATCTACGCTCGGACTATCTACGCTGGGACTATCTACGCTCGGACTGTCTACGCTCGGACTGTCTACGCTCGGACTGTCTACGCTCGGACTATCTACGCTGGGACTATCTACGCTCGGACTGTCTACGCTCGGACTGTCTACGCTCGGACTGTCTACGCTCGGACTATCTACGCTCGGACTATCTACGCTCGGACTATCTACGCTGGGACTATCTACGCTCGGACTGTCTACGCTCGGACTATCTACGCTCGGACTATCTACGCTCAGACTACATTCGGACGATAAACTAGCGGTAATCTTTTCAGTTATATATTGTGTTAGCAGTGCGTTGCTTTTGTACCATTTCATCAGTGATTGTTGTACAACTTACAAGAAGTTGCGCTCATGCTAATGTTAGCATATAGATCACAAATAAAACTAGATGGCTCCGTGGGATGAGAGCGTAGAGGAAATGAGAAGCCTGTGAGCGAGTTGGGGGCGGAGCTAAACATTCAAACCTTACAGAAACAGGTATAGCTCCTTTAAGGCTATGAACCCGTCTGCATCGGTGGCGATGCATGCGCACATGTTTTACAAATGATCAATTTACTCGCGAACAGTAAAACGTAGCAACTTACTTTTTTTTCCTCTGTGAAGTACACATTCAGGGCTTTCCAAAACTATTTGATTTGTCTGTGCGATGCACGGAGGATAAACTACGCTTGTCTGAAAGTCCGTGTCCAAAGCGTGACCCGTGAGGTACAAACAGCTGTGAGATACAAACACACGGGGACTGCCAAAGATCGTCAGAGAGTGAGATCTCTCACTCCTCTGCGTTTACTTGTTCTCCCACAGTTGAAACTACAGCTGCGATTGCAATAACCGGCTGAAGAGTGCGCATTATTGATAAAGACGATAATAAATACAGTAAAATGACATTATGTGTATATGATGTATATAAATATATGTATTATATAAATAATTGATGTTTTTTTTTTTTTGTCTCAGTTTCTTATGTTTTACGTTTTTTACAGCTGTCCTACAGAAGCAACCCCAGTATTATAGATAGTTTTTTGCTTTTATAGTGGAATTTTGTAAAAAGTATAATAGTTAGAGATTTAATATTTTTTCGCATTATCCCCAAGACCATAAATAACATTTCTATGCAGTGTAAAAAGTTGTTTATAGCATTTCATTGTGTTTTTTCAATACATTTTTGTTAAATTGATTTTCCGTTTGATTTTTTTCTTTGCCTTCATGATTCCATAATTTTTATATAATTCATATGACAGCTTTACAATATGAATATTCTAAAACCCCAGGTTGTACTGAAAAAAAAAACAAAGTATACTGCTTGACTCTGCATCAAAAGATGACTGTTTTATGAACAATTATACACAAAGAAAACCAGGCGAGGAAAGTTCCCCAAAATGACCCATGTGCATAGAGGGTTAAGCGGTCAAACCGGTATGTGCCGCTGGTTTACTGTGGAACAAGCTGAGCTACCTACACTTAAACCAAAAAATATAACTTTCATTTAACTCTAGCATAAAATCTATCCACCGTAGCTTTGTCTCGAAACACTTTTTAGCATTTTTAGCCTCGGTCACATCTTTAAAGTTGGTTTTTCAGACAGAAACAGTAGGACCACTGACCCGAAGCATGACTCATGAGGCTCTTTCTCAAAAGTGTTGAACATATGAGAAGACAGAAGGCTGTGGTGTGACTCCTGGACAGGGGTCATCCCACGGTCTACTCTGTGTTTGTTATTATCACGTTTCCTGTGATTCATATGGCAAAAATTTTACATCATTCCTTTCAACTCTATCACATGGAAATAGGAATAAGAACGTACAGAGCAGATTAATTTTCTAAACTCAACATAAAAACAACTAATAATAGAAATATTATTAGTAATGATGTCCTTCAAACTAACTGTATGCGACACTACTGTAGAATACTACTGTAGAATAGTTTTTAATTAATATCTGATCTGTTTTAGAGGAATTGTCAACTTTTGGTGATGGTTCAGTGATGGTTGCATTGATGGTAGCAGCAGATAAGACTGTTGCTGGTACTGTTGCTGGTGTCTGGATGGTGACAGCGGCGGTGACTCACAGATGACACACGAACCAAACTGTGATAATTGTGATCTGAGGTCTATTTACAGACAGAGACACGTCACCGCGGCAACATGTCACTCAGGCCGGGACCATGTGGGGACCAGCGCTGATCCTGATGTTGTTTATGTGACAGAGGCAAAGCTTATGTTAGAAAGAACCATTTGTGTTTGGAAGCTTTCTGGTTTTAGTGCATTTTTGTTCCAAACTCAAATTCTTACTAAATCTTAAAACCAACTGTGAAGAGAGAGTGAAACTTTTTTAAGACTAGACACACCACGAAAAATTGTGAAATAGGAGTTAATAAATGCTTAAATCAAGTGTTTTTAGACACTTTTTGTCATTCATTTGTCCCCATTGGAAAATATAGTTTTAAGTCAAAATTTGCTCAAATGAAGATACATTTAGCCAAATTTCAGCAGTTTTGGACTTATTTATCACATTTTGCAGTGCAGCTTTCTGATTGGCCGCTCCTCATATTTTGTTTTGGGGAGGGTTGGCCAGATTTGGGACATTAGGAATGATAACGCAAAAACAAATTATTAGTATTCCTGTCGATATTTTTATTTTTTTATTTTCAAGTTATAATGAACCGACAGTGCCCAAGACCAGACATAAAAACTAAGAGGGACGGGGCCTTCTCTGTGGTCTTAAACCCAGAGCACAGGGCCTTCTCTGTGGTCTTAAACCCAGAGCACAGGGCCTTCTCTGTGGTCTTAAACCCAGAGCACAGGGCCTTCTCTGTGGTCTTAAACCCAGAGCACAGGGCCTTCTCTGTGGTCTTAAACCCAGAGCACAGGGCCTTCTCTGTGGTCTTAAACCCAGAGCACAGGGCCTTCTCTGTGGTCTTAAACCCAGAGCACAGGGCCTTCTCTGTGGTCTTAAACCCAGAGCACAGGGCCTTCTCTGTGGTCTTAAACCCAGAGCACAGGGCCTTCTCTGTGGTCTTAAACCCAGAGCACAGGGCCTTCTCTGTGGTCTTAAACCCAGAGCACAGGGCCTTCTCTGTGGTCTTAAACCCAGAGCACAGGGCCTTCTCTGTGGTCTTAAACCCAGAGCACAGGGCCTTCTCTGTGGTCTTAAACCCAGAGCACAGGGCCTTCTCTGTGGTCTTAAACCCAGAGCACAGGGCCTTCTCTGTGGTCTTAAACCCAGAGCACAGGGCCTTCTCTGTGGTCTTAAACCCAGAGCACAGGGCCTTCTCTGTGGTCTTAAACCCAGAGCACAGGGCCTTCTCTGTGGTCTTAAACCCAGAGCACAGGGCCTTCTCTGTGGTCTTAAACCCAGAGCACAGGGCCTTCTCTGTGGTCTTAAACCCAGAGCACAGGGCCTTCTCTGTGGTCTCAAACCCAGAGCACAGGGCCTTCTCTGTGGTCTTAAACCCAGAGCACAGAGCCTTCTCTGTGGTCTTAAACCCATAGCACAGGGCCTTCTCTGTGGTCTTAAATCCAGAGCACAGGGCCTTCTCTGTGGTCTTAAACCCAGAGCACAGGGCCTTCTCTGTGGTCTTAAACCCAGAGCACAGGGCCTTCTCTGTGGTCTTAAACCCATAGCACAGGGCCTTCTCTGTGGTCTTAAACCCAGAGCACAGGGCCTTCTCTGTGGTCTTAAACCCAGAGCACAGGGCCTTCTCTGTGGTCTTAAACCCAGAGCACAGGGCCTTCTCTGTGGTCTTAAACCCAGAGCACAGGGACTTCTCTGTGGTCTTAAACCCAGAGCACAGGGCCTTCTCTGTGGTCTTAAACCCAGAGCACAGGGCCTTCTCTGTGGTCTTAAACCCAGAGGGTGGTCTGGGTGTTTCTGTGTGTCTGTGTGATTTTTCTTATGATTTTAATTCCTTGTGTAATTTAAATTCTTCTCTTATTTTGATAACCACGTAGAGTTGTCTTCCGTATGCGCTCTGCCATACAAATAAACATGCCTTGCCGTGGTTTATCTCTGCTGTGTCCTGCAATACTTTCTCCTCTAATCTCAAAAACATGATATTTTATAGTCTTGTTATTTTTAGCCCTGGTCAGATTGCACTAAAATTACCCCAGAGTTGCAGCTGTCTTCCATCACTTCTCCCTCTCCTCCTCCTGCTCCTCCTCCTCCTCTCCTCCTCCTCCTCTCCTCCTCCTCCTCTTCCTCCTCCTCCTCCTCCCTATCGTTACTCTGTGCTCTGTCCCTGGTCCTTGTGTTATTGAAATGCGGTGAGCGATAAGGTGAATTCTCCGCGTCCTTATATGGGCATGGGGCTTTTGGACTCTGGCTCAGGTCTGCTGTGGTCTCTCCTGATGTATGCGTCCTGTCCTGGTGTAAATCACACACGGACAGAGAGCGTTGTACTGGTCTGTGGTTGTTCCGGAGCTCGGAGCTGTTTCTCATCAAGTCTGTATGTTTGAGTCTGTATGAAACTATAGAAAGACACCAGGAACTAAGTATTGGACTTAGCTTAGTCCAGTACTTGGCTTACGTCTTCCCACTCCATTTCAGGTTTCTATAGGGGTGAAGAGGGAATGTATATCTATGTATGTCAAACAACTGAATCTTGTATGAACCTGAACAAAAATAAACAAAATGAAATGAAAATGAAAGTAAATAAATGTATAAACAGGGGGTGGGGGCTAGCCTGGCCTTAGCCATCTGTAAACTCCAGTCAATGATCATTTACATGTACGTCTGGGTTTGATCCTAGTGGTTTCAGTTTTATCGGTTCAATCACCTACGACCAATCAGAGAGCGGGGGAGGCAGGTGTTGTGGATCGGTGTCGGTGACCTCAAGAGTTTGCGCCATATTTGCTGGTTGTAGTTTGGCGGAGAATGCGATAGTAAAGTAATCATTTCTGGTTCGGCTCAAAATATCAGGAAATTGAAGCCGGAGCAAGAGGAATGTTTCGCAGATGTCATTGCTGCAAAGATGTTGTGGCTCTACTCCCCACGGGCTCCGTTAGTGGCAAAGGAGATGGCTAAAGCTAGGCTACATGCTAAAGGTAGGCTAACTCCAAATGCTAGCGACTCACTCGGGCGCGTTACATACGTCTCGGTAAACTCAGATCCAATCGTTTCAATCTGCGAAAGGAGTTAGCCCCAAGAATAAAACCAAGAAAAAAAAAAAAAATCCACACCATGACAGCGAGGAGTTAGAATTTGTTAGAATTAATGATAATTGCTGTCACTGCTGTAAAAACTCAAGATAAAACTTGGCACAAAGAATTGGAAAGTTTGATCCACGGGTCACAACATGAGGTCCATGAGCAGGATGTTTGTGAGACCGGAGTCAGGACCAAACCATAAGAACACCATCGGTTTAACACATCCACATGTTTATCCACTTTAAATAAGAATAATTTATACGCTTAAAATAATCTTGTTTTGTGTCATAAATAAAACATTGTATTGGTACAGGTTGTCTCCATCTTATTAAAAAAACTCAAAACATTCCCTGTCAGACACTAATGCATGTTTGGAGCTGAGAGCTGATTGGCCGAGTGAGGGTGGTGCTTTCATTATTATTATTATGATCAATCAACCATTATCATGTTTTGTGGTTTAGCTTTAATACTTATTCATGTATTTTCTATCGGGGTTTCTCATTACACTGAAGTCCCATAGATCTACTTTATACTGTATATATAAATGTGTGTGTGTTTTGTGGAATATTGTGGCAGACGAGAGCGAAAGGAAAAGGCCCTTCTCAAGTGCCATAAAGTAGGTGCCAAATGCCACAATAGTTTGAACACGTTTCCATTCTATATTTAGCCCCTTTAATAAAAATCAGAATCGGAACCAGAACAGTAAGTCACATTTGCTTTGGATCAAGGTGCAATCAAGTTATAATAGTAAAAATAGAAAAGGCCTGGATAGGAAACATCTTTCATTTCTTAACATTACCATTAAATACAAGTGCACTGAGTAAACACAGTAGATATTACGGACTCTTGTCTATTTTCTTTTTTTGCTCAAGAAAAAAAGTTGTCTACAATGCTTTGAAAAACAAGGGACACTAAAATCTCTACAAAATCCTTCTTTATGAAAGCTGAAGGTTCTCTTCCAGCTTAGGTCGAGCTGTTTTAGTTTACATTGAGTTCTATGGGACATTGTTCTGGGTAACGTGAATTTAGTCTCCATCTGTGGGTGGGACAGTTATAAGCTAGTAATATTTTATCCAGGTATTATTATAGATCCATGGTTTGACCCAGTGGGGGCGGGTCCCGGCTCAAAAACGTTCAAAATGACGTGTGCTGACATGCTGCAATACCACCCCGGGCCAGTGGGGGTGTACCTAGAATAAAAATTAGCCAACGCTAATGTATGGCATCTTCTTAACTCTCAAAAACGGCTTTATGTTATGGTCCAAAAGTAGTCTCTTGGCCCAACGCTGCGTTCCAGATGCTGTTGATGTTGAGGGGAGTGAAGTTTTTGGACCGCTCTAGTTTAGCCGCTGTGGACTTCAGAATGCACTCTTTAAATGAATGGGGCTCGTGCAGCTAACGCATGCGCAAATGCGGTTTTTCATATTTTCCAGCCCCACTGCCACTTTGAAACTGCCCATAGACGAAGTGGTCGCACATTAGTTTCACGGCGGAGGTAGGCGTGACTATGTTTGTTGATATTTACAGTGTATGGTTTGACCTGACAGTGATGGTGCGGGAGGAGGAGGGAGGAGGAAGTGTCATGGCCGCCGCTCTGTTCTCACTGCAGCAGACGTCTCTGTGGTCGATGAGAAAACTGTAGAGCAAAGTGAGAAGACACATTAACACCAGAGACTCGGAGACCAGCGAGGGAATCCTCATGTCACTGCCAAGCAATTCACAGATCCTATTCCATCACGAGGCTAAACCATAGAAAAATCATGACAAATAAGTCCAAAATGTCTCAAATTTGGCAATTTTTTTATGTTAATTTAATCACATTCTGCCTTCAAAACAAGATTTGCCAATGGGACAATGGCCAAATGATCTTGTTTTAATATATATATTTTTTTGTAGTGTATGTAATTAAATCTAGAACTACTTTAACTCCGGAGAGTAACTCCTCAGTGTGGCCCAGGGCAGCCGTGGCTACAGTGGTAGTGTGTGCATTTTGTATGGTAGAGTTAGTGGCTGTTGTCAGAGTTTATGGACTTATTATTATTATTATTATTTTTGGGTTAAGGGAGGGAGAGACGGGGAGCTAACAGTGAAGTCAACGGTGACGCCAACGGTGAAGCTAACGGTGAAGCTAACAGTGAAGCTAACGGTGAAGCTAACGGTGAAGCTAATGGTGAAGCCAACGGTGAAGCCAACGGTGACTCCAACGGTGACTCCAACGGTGACGCCAACGGCAACTCCAACGGTGACTCCAACGGTGACTCCAACGGTGACGCCAACGGTGACGCCAACGGCGACGCCAACGGCGACGCCAACGGCGACTCCAACGGTGACGCCAACGGTGAAGCCAACGGTGACGCCAACGGTGACTCCAACGGTGACTCCAACGGTGACTCCAACGGTGACTCCAACGGTGACTCCAACGGTGACTCCAACGGTGACGCCAACGGTGAAGCCAACGGTGACGCCAACGGTGAAGCCAACGGTGACTCAAACGGTGACTCCAACGGTGACTCCAACGGTGACTCCAACGGTGACGCCAACGGTGACGCCAACGGTGAAGCCAACGGTGAAGCCAACAGTGAAGCCAACGGTGACGCCAACGGTGACGCCAACGGTGAAACCAACGGTGAAGCCAACGGTGACTCCAACGGTGACTCCAACGGTGACTCCAACGGTGACTCCAACGGTGACTCCAACGGTGACTCCAACGGTGACGCCAACGGTGACGCCAACGGTGAAGCCAACGGTGACTCCAACGGTGACTCCAACGGTGACTCCAACGGTGACTCCAACGGTGACTCCAACGGTGACTCCAACGGTGACTCCAACGGTGACTCCAACGGTGACTCCAACGGTGACGCCAACGGTGACTCCAACGGTGACTCCAACGGTGAAGCTAGCGGTGAAGCTAGTGGTGAATCACGTTGTGTTCAGTAAAAACAGTGGTCTCCCTGCCACAGTACGACATGAAAACCTTATAACCAGGTGCAGCCTCAGTGTGGACAACATTGATTTTCTTTTCAAAGTGTTGCTGGTGCGGCTCATACACAGGTGCGCCTTATAGTCCAGAAAGTATTGTATGTGTTTTTGGATCATACTGGAGCAGACTGGTTGTAGTCAACACAAACACACAAATAACTAGCAGCATTAGACTGTGGTTGTGTTAAAGTCCCAGCGTCACATGGTTCCTCCAGAGTCTGTAGTAAATGAGATTATCCCTTCCTGGTCTGCGACGGCATGTCTGGTATGTTGTTCTGTCTCAATGTATTCTGACATATTTCCTGCTGCATGCCCTTCCCCCGCTGCTTTTACTGCAGGATCCAATATTCATTTATACTTTATTTTTTTACAATTTATTATTACGAGTTTTCTTGAACACATCACTGAAAAGGGAGAAAACAAACAAAACCAAATAATCTACAGGTGTGAATTAGCACTGCTGCTAAAACCAAAGCATCTCTTCTTTTGGCTAATGTTTATTGTACACTGTCCCTGTAAAATTAAAAACCAAACCATACCATACCATACCATGCCATACCATACCATACCATACAATCAATCAATCAATCAACCTTTTATTTGTAGAGTACCTTTCCTACACAAGGCAACACAAAGCGCCTCACAACCCACATCACATCAGGCATTAATCATCAAACATTAGAATCTACATAGACATTAAAAAACACATTAATGGCACAACATATAAATAAAAAGATAAAAAAAAAAAAACAAAATCACACAAGTAGTTAATAACCTTGAAAATCACACATGGGATTAGAATCATAAATAGCCACAGCAGGGTTCCCGTTAGCCGGCTGTAGCCGGCTTTTGGCCGGTAAAATATGTCTTTGGCCGAGAAAAAAAAGTGCCGTCGGCCACGTTGGCTGATTGAAAAAAAAAAAATTAAGTTACAATAAAAATTATAATTATCATTATTATCACTATGCAATAAATAAATCACTTAAATCAGACAACAAATCAATAAATGTGGTTGTTTTAAAGGCTTGTGGTTTAAAAGGTGGTCGTGAATGCCTAGGATTAGCGCACCCCATGACGTCGTTAACGCCCTCTGGTTCGCGGCGCGAGATTTGAAACCTACGCTAACAATGTCGAAGCAATCGTCTCTCGCTCATTTCTTCAAAAAAACATCTACTACTCAATCTACAAGTGACTATACACCAACGGAAGAATCAGGACCTCCCGAAAAGCGCCATGCATCTGGTGCAAATGAAAATGATGTCGGAGGAGCAAAAAAAGCTCGAAGATGCTACAAGCCCGAGTGGCAGGATCGGTTCAAATGGTTAAGGCGAGAGCTAATGGATGGGACTGACAAAATGTTTTGCATCATTTGTGAGAAGTCCGGTAAATATAACGGTTTCACCAAAGGATCAATTAACTATAAAGCCTCTACACTGTTAGAGCACAGCCAAAGCTCAGAGCACCTGTCCGCTGTGCATTTATCGCAACAACAAAGCGCTATGAAACAGCATTGTGATAAAGCGCTCCAATCAAGCAGAAACGCCTTGACTTCACAGATGAAGGTTGTTTTTTACATGGCTAAAAACGATATACCCTGTCATCAGTTTTGTGGACTGTTGGAATTGATGCAAAGTGTTGATGCTCCTGACTTTAAAAGTAACATTTTATACAAACACGACGAGTCTGTAAATGACATGGAAAAGGGTTTAGAAAAAACTATAATTAATGAAGTAAACGAAAAAATAAAGAAAAGTGACTTTGTTGGCTTGATAATAGATGAAACGGTAAACATCACAGTCAATAAAAAACTCATAATGTATATAAAACTCGAAAACAATGGGAAAGTGGAAAGTGCTTCCTAGGGAATTACAATATCCATTCAGGAACAGCTCAGTGTATTTTTGATGAAGTGAAGGCTGCACTAAAAGAAAGAGGCATAGTTATGAGCCGCGTCACAAGCCTGGGGTCGGATGGAGCCAGCGTAATGATGGGAACGCACTCTGGAGTCGGGGCACTTTTGAAAAAAGAAAGCCCGTACAGTCTCCAAGTCCACTGCATTGCACACCGAGTGGCACTGGCTGCCACCGACGCGTCCAAAGCGGTGAAGACGATTGCGGACTATAAGCGCACCATCAACAGCGTGTATACCTTTTATAAACACTCTGCAACCAGAACAAATCGTTTGCGACAACTCTCTGCCACTCTCGATGAAGGAGATATGACCAGCCTGAAACAGCAGTGTGCAGTGAGATGGCTGTCACTGGGGAAAGCGGTTGAGGCCATCAGACACAACTGGCCAGCGCTCGTGATGGAGCTACACGAAGAGGCTGCAAAAGGCAACCCCTCAAGCCCGTGGCATTCTCAATCAAATACAGACGTATGGATTTATTGCACTTACCTATGCCCTCTCAGACATCCTCCCGGTGATGAACAAATTAAATCTGTGTTTCCAAAAGGAAGACGTAAACTTGGCAAGCATCGCTCCCATGGTAAAGGCCTCCGTGTCCGCTTTGGATCAGCTCAAAGACAACGCAGGCCCAGAAGAACGCAACTTAAAAAGAGACTTCGATGTAACAAAAAGCGAGTTTAAATGTGTTAAAATTACACAGGCTTCGGAGAAAAATGTGCGGGCTTTTGACAGCTCCCGACAGCAATACATCGAACACCTCATCGAGTCGCTGAAAAGGCGTTTCCCGACTGATGATCTAAGCCTCCTGAACTGCTTCGACATGGTCTTCAATCCAAGCAGATATCCAGAAAAAGATGGTAAAACTAGCCGATCATAATTGAAAATTATAGGCTGGCAGTGGCACCATCTGTGAGGCTAACGTTGTTTTGTTTTTTTGCAGCTAATCTGCAGCAGTACGCTGAGAGTGCAGTAATGCCAATAACAAAGCACTACGGCGCACCAAAAATGACTGCTGCTGGGCAGGTGCAACCGCTCATATGTGCCCAAGACGCAGAAAAAGATGCTCTCCCTCTAATGATGGCATTACGCGGATATGGGGGGTTGTCGTTTCATACCGGATGCAAAGTGGTCATAAATGACTTAAAAGAAATGTTTCCCGACTGGGCAAAACTTGGACAAATAGCCCTGACCATACCCGTGTCCAGTGTACCAGCAGAACGGGGGTTTTCACTCCAAAACCGAATCAAAACGTCTCTGAGAAGTCGCCTGTCAGAGGAAAAAGTTACTCGGATCATGCGGATTGCCAGCTGTGGCAAGGGGCTGGATACATTTGACTTTAAAGAAGCAGCTAAACATTTTAATGCGATTAAAGTGCGCCGCAAATAATGTGGCTTAGGCTTTAGCCTATGTGTCAAATAAGAGTGGGAGGACATGAAGCACATCTTTAAAAACCTTAAAAATTCATTGGCCAGTTATTTTTGCTTTGAGATAAGTTATAGGCCTATTGTATTAATTCTATTTTCTCGTTCACTTGTTCAATTTGAGTGGCCTGTAGCAGCCTACAGTCTAATATCTGTGATGTAGCCTATGAACTGTATGTCTTTTCATGTTGGTTACAGTACATGATGCCACTGGTTTATGGAATGAGTTAAGAGTGGACTATGCTTATTTTAATATTACAGAACGTGTTTGGCTACTCTCCGAATCAAATAGGCTGCTGCATCTATAAATAAACATTAACATATTGCTGTTTGATTTATTTGTTGGTGTTCCTTTTCAATTGACCTCAAGTTAATTACTTGCTTTCCTGTATTGTTCAGCCCATCTCTTCCTGCTACCCTATAATCAATTACACCGTAGGTTTTAAGGTTATACAATTTGCTATCGTTTTCCATATCACGCTCACTACAGATAGGAAACACTTGGAAAAAGAAAACAGACAAATATATTTTTTATTTTGCCCCGTGGAATGATCAGTGTGTCTTATAATGTCCAGCGCTATCAGGGTAAGGCAGATTAATGTCCCCAGGCGAGAGCTTCGACAAAAAGCCGCTCGACACGTTACTGTGTTTTTGTCCGCATTGTACTGACGAGTTGCGTGTGCTTTCATTAGCCTTTGGAAACTTTTTACTGATACGCTCCGTTCATAAGACCTTGTGCGGATTTGTTAAGGCTACAACATGGGCCGTCTACAGTTTTCATGTGCGTAAAAGGACGCAATGTGTGCCCCTCATTATCGTATTTGTGGCATGCAGGGCAGCGCTACGAGCTTTAGATGTATCTGCTTTTCTGCAGCAGAGAAGCATTTACGTGGCTGTAAAGTGAGCAACTGGTTGTGCACATGCACCTATCACGCACAACGTGTGCTCAATGGCAACGTGCCATTCTTGCGCACAACCATTCACAAAGAGCAAACTAAACACCAATGGGAGAATATTGTAAGCATTAAGAATCTTTCATCCCAGTCCAGCACTTTAGGAAACACTAATTTTCGGATCTGGTCTTATTGCGCCGCAGCTCTCTTATCTATCGGCATTTGCATGCTTGTGTTCTGGCGGCACTTTAAAACAAGGGTTGCCTCAAAATAGCAAGGTATAATATACAGGGCAGACAGGCACCGCATGTTTCATGTTGTATAATCTGGCCATACAGTAGCCTTATACAGGCTAATTAAATTATGTCCGGTTGCTTACCCAAATGGCCGATATTTTCAGACCTTGTCGGCCAAAGTGACCGCCAAAAAAAAAGTCTAGCGGAACCTCTGAGCCACAGTGCAGTAAAAAGATTAAAGATAAAATCAAAGATATAATCATTCAGTTGTATATGCACAGCTAAACTGAACTGTTTTCAGCCCAGATTTAAAAACTCCCAGAGTAGACCAGACTCTAGGTGCATGAATCTGAAACGCAGCCTCCTCATGTCTAGTTCTGACTCTTGGCACCAGCAGGAGGCCAGTTCCTGTGCTCCTCAGAGCCCGAGTTGGCTCATATGGCACCAACCTATCACGCCATGCCATGTCACGCCATGCCATGTCACGCCATGCCATGTC